ATTAACAGGGATTGTAGCGTGCTCTGACTTCTGACTACTCTACTATGTTTGACTGGCTACCAGTTTCAGTAGCCACTGGGTGGACATGTATGAATGAACGATTGGCTGATCAACCACATGATGGAATCGTATCTGTTGGGCAAACTACAGAAGACAATTTTTTGTTATTTTAAATGATTTGCATTTGGCATTTTTTTGGTATCTGCTCATCGATGGTAGTTGGTAAGCGAGTGTCACAAGTAAATTGAAACCTTGATACAAATGCACAAAATATGTCGAGGGTGGTGGTGGTGGTGATGGTGTTGTTTTGGAAGCTTTTGACCTTACGTCTGGCGTTGTGCAAACAATAATTTTCTCTGCAATCGCGGCTGTCGTAGTGACCGTGAAAAAGTTTTCGAAAGGAGGTAGTCATTTGCATAATTGGAAAGGAAAATTTTCTGCAATTTGATGATGGGAGAACTTTTAATGCAGATGAGGTTGTTATACCCTACAACACTATGTGTTGGGGGTATTATAAGTTTGATTGGGCCAAAAATTATGTAACACCACGAAATATTAATTTCCCACATAGGAAAGTATATACGGATCTTCCTATCTCGCCGAGCTGAGTCGATCTAGCTATGTATGTCCGTCCGTCCGTCTGTCCATGTTAATTTCTAATCACTCTACAGGTCGCAATTATGGTCCGATCTTCACGAAATTTAAAATGGAGGTGGGGCTAGGGTCAGAATATAACCCTATTTATTTTGGTGATGATTGCACAATAATTAGGGGTTGAAATGGACAAAAAACTGAAAAATATCCTGATTTTGCACTTGCTCTATAGGTCGCAATTATAGACCAATCGACGCGGAATTTCGCATGTAGCTAGAGTTTAGGGCTGGCAAGAAGCCTACCCATTTGGGTGGTCATCGGATAATATTTAGCGGGTAATATAGACCATATATTTTTTGTTGAAAAAATTCAAAATTTTTCATTAAACCGCGAATATTTTAAATCCCGGCGAAATCACAAAGCCATGACAAGGTTACTTGTGATCTTTACATTGATGTTAACATCCAACAAATCGGATATATAGCAAAATATGTGCGATATATTTGTCTATCGAAGAGGATGTGCTTGAAAGATCTCTTATATGTCGAGAACGGCTGAACTGATTTCGACAGTTCTCATTAGTTCAGAATAGCCTCTTGGCAGGAAAGGAAAAACGTCTAAAAACGCATACAAATATCTCTCTAAAGATGAAAATATTGATTTTGTAAAATTTTCTCATATTTTTTCAATTTTGTCATATTTTTGGCATATTTTAATTTTGAATTAAACATTTGGTAATATTTCTACAGCTAACAAAGCTAAGTAGTTAGGATATCAGGATATCATATACAGATCGCATTTTTGGCCCGATCCTTACGAAATTTTGCATGGAGATAAGATGAGGGTCAGAATAAAAGCCTATTCTTTTTGGAGATGATCGCCATATATTTAGGGGTTGAAATGGACCAAAAAACTGCAAAATTGTCAGCAGGTCGTAATTATGGGGGTTACCGGACATTGCAAAAGCCAAGCAGTTTTGGATGGCCATCCAAAAATATTCAATGTGTGAAGGAGTTTGCCAACTTTTATAGACAAAATACGAAAATGTCCATTCCAGTGACTTTTTGGAGAATTCACAAATACAGGAAAGACGCACTTCTGACTATTTCGTTAACGCTGATTTCGTGGAAGAATATAGTCAAATGTCTGTATCTCATATAGATGCGTTTCAGTCAAAAACCAATAATAAATGTTAATCTTTTGCCACTTCTGAGAGATTATAGGTCTTTGGGAAATATTGGTTCCAGATCTTGGAAGACCATTTAAGTGCAACATCTTCCAATAAATTGGAAATGAGCAAATCAGTTTAAGTTGCTATTATTCGAAAATTAGAGAACGAAACCTGATGGTGTTCTTTTATTATTTGTCACAATATCTAATGGAATTCTTTCGAGTATCTCGCCTATATAAACTGTATCGTTTATTATAGTGTTGTAGGGTATTCAACGGTCGGCCCCGCTCGACTGTAGCCTTTGCTTACTTGTTTTTAAAATTATTTTATCCCACATCACACTGTGGCACCGGGAATGATTGCCTTTGTTCATTGATTTGTAAACGATTAAAGATGTTCCCATAGTACCCATACTTTCGTTTGAAATGTACCCATACTTTAACAGGCGATTTATGAGTATCAGTCCGTCTTCAGATTGGAATTTAAGAAAAATAGTACTGATACTTTGACAGATATAAGAATATGACTGAATACATAATAATACGAATTATTAAGTAATTCCTTTTTTGTCCTCATACAAATCATTTAACAAGTGCTCGAAGTTTAGTGTAAAACATTATATGTTTTGGCCAGCAAGATCTTGTAATAAACATTTTAAAAAATCGAGGTATTTGGTATTTTTCCTTAAAAAGCATAGACCATGTGATAACATCGGTTACATATACCCACTGCTTTTCATATCTTAACACGCATCCCCTCCAGAGGGATCTAATATATGAAACGTACCTGTAAAATGATAATGTGAAACAAGTGAAAACGCGGTACGTTTGGCGGCGTCGAACTTCATATACCCTTCACCATTTGGGATACATTTGCAGATTTCCAAAACAAAAAAAAAAAAAAAAACTGGGTTGAAAAATACAGCTAAAATTATTAAAATATCGAATATAGAAAGTTATCGTTATGGTGGGTCCTATACGAAGACGTGGACCTGTAAATACAATTTTTGTCATAGGCCATTAAGATATTCAAATACGAAATTTAAAAAAAAAAATAATTCCGGTGAATTATGTCGTTAAAATCGTCAAAATATCGAATATAGAGAAGTTCCGTTATTTGGGGGCTATCCGAAGACCCGGAGCTACAATTTTCTTTCATAGACTGTAGTAGCTATTACGAACCTACAATATGAAATTTAAAACAATTCCGCGGGCTATACGAAGACGTTGTATGTATGAGCAATTTTCTGTCATAGGATATACAGGGTGAGATGAAAAAACTGCAACCAACTTCAGACTGCTGTCATTTATTAGCCACTCGTGTGACAACTGTTAAAATTATTCCAGTGACAGCTAATTATAGTGTATACAAGCGTACAGAAGCATTTTGGTGAGAATTTTCCAGAGAAAAAGTTATTCGTGATGGAATTCAAGCGTAATAGTGTGGAAAGCCGCAATTGGCTATCGTTAGAGAACTCCTGCATTTAAATGTGAATAAATCTTTTGTGTCTCGTACCGTCGCTCATTAGCGTTATATTGTTAGCGTAGACCGACGTCAAGGAAGTGGACGGAATAAAATAGCAACATCAGCAAAAATGGTTCGAAAGGTAAAGAAGCGATTTGATCGAAACTCGCAGTGGCCAAAAAATGGCTCGTGAACTGACAATATAACAATATTTCATTCGGCAAATATTGAAAAATGAGCTCGGGGTAAAGCCATTGAAATTCCAAAAAGTGCAAGAACTTACACGGCAACTGGACTCAGCACCATCGCACTCAGCACGCGCTACCCAAGAATGGTTACAAAATGAGGTCCATCGCATCATTTCCAGCGAACAATGGCCACCAAAATCTATAGATACCATTCCGTTGGACTATTGTGTCTAGAGTACTTGGGAAATCAAGGTTGGCGCTAAAACATACCAAAGTGTCGATCACCTCCAGCAAGCGCTTCGCCTGGAATGGGCCAATATACCACAGAGCAACATTCGGGTAGCGTTTGACGGTTTCATTGGTCATTAGCATACCAAAACTTATAACTACATTGGAAGTTCTATAAAAAGATGTTTCTTTTGGGAGCATATGCTGCCAATTTACAGTAAATTCGGGTAAAACATGTGGCTAAAACACCCAGAACACCTTAAATCTTTCGGTACAGTTATATGGGGGCTATACCAAAACCTGGACCTATATAGCCCAATGTCAGTGCCAAAAGTCCTGCATCCACATCTGCGTAAAATTTTGTCAACCTACTTCATTTTGTTCATATTGGTCATAACTCCTAAGATATTGACATTTGGGGTTTTTAGCTATGTTTTGTCAGGTGGTTTTTTAAAGAGGAAAAAATACAATATTGCTTATTTTAAAATGGCCATAACTTCTTTAATATAGACATTTCCTGCCCGAATTCTTGTAGCAATCGAACTGTTTCTATTTGTTTTTTTTTTTTTGTGTAGTATTAACCTGTATTGCAGGTTTCACCTGTCCAGTTAGGTATGAACGAGCCTTAATATGAGGAATTACATTTTCCAATTTTCTGTTGTTTCAAAATAGTTAGGCTTAATCCCAATATTGTTGTTTTAATAACAACAACGTATTACCAGGGGTTAAGACAGGCAATACCTAGGTTTCGGAAAGGGCCACCAATTCTCATCAGTTCCCTTGTCTTTTGTCTTGGATCAAACTGAAATTCTTTTGGGAAATCATCTAAAACATACAACCGCATTTATAAACATTTTTTTCATTTCAATTTTCGTTATTTCAAATCTCAGTTCATGACCATAATATTTACATTTGTTGCTAAGTTTAATAACTTCTTGTGTTTGTCATCTAGCTGTCAGCTTCTTTTGGATAGATATTACCAAATGTTTGGTTTTTGTTGCTGCTTAAGAAGTCAACGATTGGAAAATACAATTCATTCTACTATCATTTGTTGTTATTGTTTCTCCTACGACACCTCTACAACTGTATGACGCAAGTTTTCGCCGATATTATTTAATTGAAATCAACTACCCAAATGATTGGCTTGCTAGCCACTGGATGCGTTAAAATTCAATTAACGTAGCAGAAATTGGTAGTTGAGCCTCTCTTGTTTTTTTTTTGTTGTTGTTTCTTTTTTACAATTCAATTTTGTCACAACGCATTTTGTGTGAGGGAGCTTCGTACAGAGAGCTATTGGGGTGTTCTCGTTCGCTTGTCTTTTGTTTTAATACATTTTTCGTAATTTTCATATAAAAAGACTTGGCAGAGCCAACAAATGACACAGTTCAAATCCACTTTTGGTATTTAGAGCAACTACAACCAACCCAACCTAAAACTAACTACAATGGCATTCAAAGTAAGGATTACCCACCGATCGACCCATCCATCAAGCAACTACCACAATCCTTGGATATTGGATTTTTATTTAACTTATCAACTCTCTTGGCTTTTCTTCTAGTTCGTCACTTTGTTCGCTGCTCTCGTGGCTGTTGCCAGCGCCGGTGTTCTCCCAGCTGCTCCCTTGGCCGCCGTTGCCAATGTTGAGGAATACGATCCCCATCCCCAATACTCATATGGTTATGATGTTAAGGATGCTCTGTCCGGTGACTCCAAGACCGCTGTGGAAACCCGTGACGGTGGTTTCGTCCAAGGTCAATACTCTTTGAACGATGCTGATGGTTACAGACGCATTGTTGACTACACCTCTGACCCCGTCAACGGTTTCAATGCTGTTGTCCGTCGTGAACCTTTGGTTGCTGCCGTTGCTGCCCCCGTTGTTAAGGCTGCCGTCGCTGCTCCCGTTGTTGCTGCTCCTGCCCCAGTTGTCAAGGCTGCCGTTGCTGCTCCCTTCGCCTATGCTGCCCCAGCTGCCTATGCCGCCGCTCCCGTCGTCAAGGCTGCCGTCGCTGCTCCCGTCGTCGCTGGCCCAGCTGTTGTAAAGACCACTTTCGCATCTCCCCTTATCTCTTATGCTTACTAGATAAATCGGACCGATTGTGATTGTTTGTTGTTATAGCCGAATAAAGACTTGTGATGAATTAATGTTAATTGAAAATTGAATAACCTTTTATTGTACACTACAACACTATGTGTTGGGAGCATTATAAGTTTCATTGGATAACAGGTTTGTAACAACTCAGAATATTGGTCCTAGACCCATAATGTTATATATCGATCTTCCTATATGTCTTCCACTTGTCCATGGTCATTTGTATTCTTTTGTTTTTTGGAGGTGATTGTTAAAATTAGTAGTTGGAATTTATTAAAAATAGAACATTTTTCTGAGTTTGCAGTTGACCTAAAGGCTTTGCATGGGACAAGAGTCTAAGACCAGGAGAAAGCCTAGCAATTTGGATGATCATTCGATAATATTTAGAGGGTGAGAGGATCTATATATTTAAAAACCAGTAAAGAAAGTCCCAAATGATACCCTACACCACTTTGCTAATTTAGTTGAGCTCCACTTAATAATTAAAAGTTTTTATGGGAGAATTCAATCATACACGCTATGATTATAATTATAATTTAAAATTCAAAGGACTAAATATGCCGAAGCATTTGTATCTTTTAAATTTGTACTTGTATTGCCCATTTGGTGCGAAATTAATTTGAAATCGGATAAAAATATATATGGGAACAATATCCAAATCTGAACCGATCTCGATAAAATTTGGCAAAGATATTTCTGAGCTGTATTTGATATATTTCCCTGAATATCGTTGTTACGGAGTGCATATTACGGCTGTGGGTAACAAATACAATAAATCGGATGAACAATATATGGGAGCTATAACTATATCTGAACCGATATTCACCAAATTTGGCATACTACCTTCTAGACTTAATTCGGTCGTATGTGCCAAATTCCATCCCATTTGGACAAATATTAGACGTTTGGAGCACAATAAACGGTAAATCGGACGAAGTTATATATGGGAGCTATATCCAAATCTGAACCGATCTCGATAAAATTTAGCAAAGGTATTTCTGAGCTGTATTTCATATATTTCCCCAAATATTGTTGTTACAGAGTGCATATTACGGCTGCGGAGGACAAAAATAACAAATCGGATGAACAATATGTATGGGAGCTATAGCTATATCTGAACCGATTTCGATAAAATTTAGCATACTTATTTTCAGGCCTAATTTGGTTGTATGTGCAAAATTCCATACTATTCGGGCTGATATTACACGTTTGGTGCACAATAAAAGGCAAATCGGACGAAGATATATGGGAGCTATATCTAAATTTTTACCGATTATCTCCAATTTCAATAGGGTTCGTCCTTGGGCCAAACAAATGTTGTTTGCAAAATTTCATCTCAATCGGATAATAAATGCGACATGCATTTTGTTCACAAGAATACATGGACAGACGGACGGACGGACTGACATGCATAAATCAACTCAGAAAGTGATTCTATGCAGATCATCAAAAGGAACTATGGGTCTATCTCGTTTCCTTTTGCCCGTTACAAACAAATGCACAAAGACATAATACCCTGACCACCTGACCATATATATTACAATATACACAGGAATCAAAATTTTGGAACACTGTTTACCGATCCTGTTAGAAAGGCATAGGGCGTAAATTTAACCCTTTTATGAGGAAGATATGAACCATACATGAAATACGCTTCTGACGAACGTAGTCTATTATTAAAATGGAAATTAATGTATTTTTTTATATCAGTATCAAACGAGTTCTTTATTCCAGTCAAAAGGGTTTAAAGTCTGCCGAAAATTTTCCGCAAATCAAAGCTTTGTCGGTCATCACAAGGTCAAGTTATACACTCTGCCAATGTTCGATTATTTAAAAATATTTTGACTTCTTTTATGGTTATTTTATGGTCTCTCTATGGAGTAGGTTCCGAAAGAACGGGATAATATTGTCTATTTCGTATCGGACCTAAATAATGATAATATAAATATAGCGATGTGCAGGGTTTGCACTATATTAGTTACTTTCTTCACTTTATCTCATATAAAGGGTGAGATAAAAAAACTGCAACAAAGTCAAACGCCATATTTTTTCATTTTTTTTATTGAATAGAAGCAAAAATTGTCGGAGCATCAAATTTTAGAAAAAGTTTAGATTTGCTCGAATTGGTCACCTTTGGCACGATTTATGGCCTTCAAACGGCCAATGTCACACGCTGCCCGAATGTTTCTCTGCGGCATTTTGGCCCATTCCCGGCGAAGCGCTTGCGTGCCCAAGACTTTATTACACCCTCCAGAATATTTTCGCAATAATATTCGGCATTTATTCCGATGCCACGGTCGATTAATAAGAGCGGAGAGCTACCATCGGCTGTTGTGGCGGCCCACACCATCACCATGGCCGGCGCTTGAGTTCTGGTGGCCAACCGAAGGTGCACATTTTTAGCTGACCTCTTTGGCAAGTAAACATGATCATTTTGTTTGTTTACCAATTGCTGGACAACGAATTTTTTCTCATCGAAGAAACCCAAATTCGGCATTTCACCACTTTCGGTCAAGCGAAGCAACTCTTCAGCTCTTTTGAGTCTATTTTCTTTCTGTTGCGTTGTAAGTTCTTGCATTTTTCGGAATTTTAATGGCTCTACCCCGAGCTCATTTTTCAATATTTGCCGAATGGAATATTGTGATATGTTCAGCTCACAAGCCATTTTTCGGCCACTGTGACGCGGATTTCGATCAAGTCGCTTTTTTACTTTTCGAACCATTTCTGCTGTTTTCTTCCGTCCACTTCCTTGACTTCGGGCTACGCTATCAGTATCATGGTAACGAACGATGGTACGTGACACAGATACGATCGATGATTTATTCACATTTAAATACTGGAGTGCTCTAACGATAACTACTTGTGGTTTTCCAGCCAAATATAAAGAAATCTCACAATCACGCTTGAATTCCATCACAAATAACTTTTTTTCTAAAAATTCTCACCAAAATGCTTTTGTATGCTTGTAACAATATAATGAAATGTCACTGGAAAAATTTTAACATCTGTCGGACGAGTGGCTTAGAAATGACAGCAGTCTGAAGTTGGTTGCAGTTTTTTCATATCACCCTGTACATGCAATTTTGAAAATTCTAATCATATAAAATTGTACTGTAATTTCTAATTTACAATATTATTTTGTAATGTTTTCAAATTCTATAGTGATATACACCGTAAGAGTAACCCTATGAAGATCCATATAAAAAGTGTAAAGTAGAGCAATATAATTACAAGGTTAATGCACTAGACAAGGTCACTGAAAATATTTCAAATTGATTCCGTTAAAAAGTCTTGATACCTTTCCTAAATATCACATTTTTACACGTATCAATTAAAAGTGACTGCGTATTTTTATGTAGAACATTGCACAGTGGTTCATAAAAAGAAAGGAATGAAATGAAAGATTATATTTATACCCTACACCACAAGGTGGTCAGGGTATTATGTCTTTGTGCATTTGTTTGTAACAGGCAGAAGGAAACGAGATAGACCCATAGTTCCTTTTGATGATCTGCATAGAATCACATTCTGAGTCGATTTATGCATGTCCGTCCGTCCGTCCGTCCATGTATTTTTGTAAACAAAGTACAGTTCGCATTTATTGCCCTATCCATATGAAATTTTGTACAAATCATTTGTTTGGCCCAAGGACGAACCCTATTGAAATTGGAGATAATCAGTAAAAAATTAGATATAGCTCCCATATATATCTTCGTCCGATTTGCCTTTTATTGTGCACCAAACGTGTAATATCAGTCCGAATAGTATGGAATTTTGCACGTACGATCAGATTTTATCTGAAAATGAGTATGCCAAATTTGTTCGAAATCGGTTCAGATATAGCTATAGCTCCCATATATATTGTTCATCCGATTTCTTATTTTTGTCCTCCGCAGCCGTAATATGCACTCTGTAACAACAATATTTGGGGCAATATATCAAATACAGCTCAGTAATACATTTGCTAAATTTTATCGAGATCGGTTCAGATTTGGATATAGCTCCCATATATAACTTCGTCCGATTTACCTTTGATTGTGCACCAATCGTCTAATATTTGCCCAAATTGGATGAAATGTTGCACTTACGATCGAATTGAGTCTAGAAGCTAGTATGTCAAATTTGGTGAAGATCGGTTCAGATATAGTTATAGCTCTCATATATACTGTTCATCCGATTTGTTATATCTGTTACCCACAGCCGTAATATGCACTCTGTAACAACGATATTCAGGGAAATATATCAAATACAGCTCAGAAATATCTTTGCTAAATTTTTACAAAGATTCGGTATATTTAGTCCTTTGAACTTTTAATTATAATGATAATCATAGGGTGTATGATTGAATTCTCCCATAAAAACTTTTAATTGTTATGCGGAGCTCTACTAAATTAGCAAAGTGGTGTAGGGTATCATAAAGTCGGCCCCGCCCGACTTTAAGACTTTCTTTACTGGTTTTTTATTGACGTTCAAAACCCGTGAAAATGGAAGGAATATTTGTCCCTGAAAGCTACTTTTCGGCGATAAAGTTCGAATGGGAAAAAGAAGCTCCTCATTGATTGTTGAAGACCGATACTATTTATTATAACTCTTCTGACCATTTTTTACAATCGATTTGGCTAAAAATGTGTATTTAGACAAATTTGGGGGTAAAGAACCATCTTACAGAAAAATGCCAAAATAGGTATATATATTTTGGTATAGTCCCCATATAACAGTACCTTCCACATCGATCTTATTGAAATGGACATTGTTTAATCGTCATAGGTTTGTGATAAAGAGTTAGTTTTGGAAATGCGTATTACAAGTGAACGAAAAGTACTAGGTGGTATTATATTTGGTACAATTTGGTATTGTGTGAACAGATAGTGCTAGAAATGTGGTTTTAGGAAATTTTATTGTACGAAAAGCATTGAAAACAAGTAAGCAAAAGCTATAGTCGTGCGGGGCCAACAATGTGATACCCTACAACACTACAATATGGTAGAAGTCCCCTTATGTCCAAATCCATTTTGGAAGATTTAGCTTTTGAAATTATGTCATAGAACATTGCCCAGATATTACTCTTAGCTTTTTGACCAGGGACATTTGCCCAATATCGACGCACTTCGTCATCCTGTTAGTTACATCTATATATAATTGATTTTCTACGATATTTGGCTACACTCGTCAACGAAATCCACATAAAAAAGCCAGAAGTTCGTCATTTGTGTATTTTGGATTTCGCATGTAAGTTATTTTCAGCGGTTCGATTGAATGGATATGTTGGTATTTTTTCACACAAAAGAAGTGGTCCATACTACCCGCTGTCCTAAACTCTAACTTCATGTGAGATTTCGTGTCCTTTGGTTTCTATTTGTGACCTTTATAACGGCTGCAAAATCAGAAACATTTTTAGTTTTTGGTCCATTTCAATCCATAAATATATTGCGGACATCTTTGAAAACAATAGGCCTAGCCCTTCTGAGCCTAACCCTATCCATATGAAAATTTTCGTGAGGTTCGGGCGATAATTGCAATCTATTTATAATAACCCCAACCTGTGTTGTAAGATGAAAAAATATACACTACAAACTGAAAAAATCGCATGCGATAAAAATATGAAAAAATAAAAAAAAAAATGTCACAAAATATTACAAAGTCTGTATTAACATCATTATTGGCATCTTTTATGCAATTTTTTTTAGATTTTATTCTTTTATGCCAGATTTCATTCTTTATATGAATTGACAAAATTTGTCAAAATATGTCCGGCCATTCTTGAGATATTAGCATTCCAACTTACATCCCCTTCCTTTGCATACATACTTTTATATATTTCGCTTTACATATACGATATATTGACTATCGGCATCTAAGTAACGGCAGTATTGACCTGTTCTATTTGTGATTTCGCTGGGATTAAAAATATTCATTGTTTAATGGAAAATTTGACTTTTATTTAACACAAATGTTATGGTATATTTCACCCACTAAATATTACCCGATGACCATCAAAATTGGAAGGCTTCTACCCAGCCCTAAGCTCTAGTCTCATGCTAATTTCCGATTGGTCTATAAATGCGACCTGTATAGCAACTGCAAAATCAGGAAGCTTTTCAGTTTTTTGTCCATTTCAAACCATAAATATAATGCGATCATCTCCAAAAGCAATAGGATTTTATTCTGGCCATAACCCCACCTCCATTCCAAATTTCGTGAAGATCGGGCCATAATTGCGACCTGTAGAGTGATTACAAATTAACATGGACAGACGGATGGACGGGCAAACATAGCTAAATCGACTCAGCTTGGTGAGATAGGACTATCCATATATACTTTCCTATGTGGGAAACCAATATTTCGAGGTGTTACATAATTTTTGACCCAATCAAACTTATAATACCCCCGCACACAGAGTGTTGTAGGGTATAAAAATAAATCAATAAATAAATAAAAAACCTGATCACTTACTCCAATTTGAAAATTCAATCTTTCAATGACACCACTGTGCTCTGAACATTCAACGAGGTATTTGTTGTAAACCCGAAATTAGCTTAAAGTTAATATTCCAATAGCGTTCAGAAGTAGTGTTTTCTCAATACTACATTTCAATGTTGTTATTGCTGACTTCTTCACATATATGGTGACGTCTTTTCTTAGACGTATTTGTTGTAGGCGATATTTAGTTTATTTTCATATAAAAGACAATGTTTGGCTGGCAAACGACACAGTTCAAAACCATTTTTGGTATTTAGACAATATCACGACAATCCACATCCCAAACTAAATTAAAATGGCATTCAAAGTAAGGCGTTACAATTAAAACAATATGGATAAAAAATTTAAATTAAAATTCCTTGGATAATGGATACTAATTGAGGAATATTTTATTCATTGCTTCATTCTAGTTCGTCACTTTGTTCGCTGCTCTCTTAGCTGTTGCCAGCGCCGGTGTTCTGCCAGCAGCTGCTCCATTGGCCGCCGTTGCTAAAGTTGAGGAATACGATCCCCATCCCCAATACTCTTATGGTTATGATGTTAAGGATGCCCTTTCCGGTGATTCCAAGACCGCCGTTGAGACCCGTGATGGCGGTTTCGTCCAAGGTCAATACTCTTTGAATGATGCTGATGGTTACAGACGCATTGTCGACTACACCTCTGACCCCGTCAACGGTTTCAACGCTGTTGTCCGTCGTGAACCTTTGGTAGCTGCCGTTGCTGCTGCCCCCGTCGTTAAGGCTGCCGTAGCTGCTCCCGTTGTTGCTGCCCCTGCTCCAGTTGTTAAAGCCGCCGTTGCTGCTCCCTTCACCTACGCCGCTGCCGCCCCTGTTGTCAAGGCTGCCTACACCGCCGCTCCAGTCGCCTATGCTGCCCCAGCTGCCTATGCCGCCCCAGCTGCCTATGCCGCTGCCCCTGTAGTCAAGGCTGTTGCCCCTGCCCACTTCGGTTATGCTGCTCTAGCAGCCTACGCCGCTGCCCCCGTTGTTAAGGCTGCCGTTGCTGCTCCCTTCACCTATGCCGCCCCAGCTGCCTATGCTGCCGCTCCCGTCGTTAAGGCTGCCGTCCCAGCTCCCGTCGTCGCTGGCCCAGCTGTCGTGAAAACTTCTTTCGCATCTCCTCTTATCTCTTATGCTTATTAGATAAGAACGGCTCGACTGTGATTGTTGTTTATTTTTAAAGCTGAATAAAACGAAATGTGATGAAATATTTTTAGTAAAAAATGTTGAATTTTTTATAATACAAAGTTTAAAAGGGAATATTAGCGTTAAACTATGCGCGGGCTATGCTGGACCTGAAAATGAAATTAAAATTTTTCAAATGTATGCAATAATTTTAAATATCGTGGAAAATTGATCAATTTTATTTTCATGATCTATGGAAAGGCCAACAGGGGCAATGTGACATAACCCCAAAAGCGATTTCATTACAAAGGCCACAATTCCTTTTTGTACCTTTATATAACCTTGAAAAACTATGAACGTACGCTAATACTTTGAAACAACTTTGCCATATTAAGATTTTTACATGAAATTTGACAAGGCGGGTAAAATCATACTCTCTTCCAAAAAATATTTAAACATTTTTTCCATATATTTGTTGAGAAATTAATGTTAAACTCAGTGAAATTTCAGCATCAATTAAATCCAATAATAAAAGTTCGTTGTAAACCGATATAGGAGCTACTACAACCCATGGTCCTTATACAGGGTGAGATGAAACAACTGCAACTAACTTCAGACTGCTGTCATTTCCAAGCCACTCGTCCGACAGCTGTTAAAATTATTCCAGTGACAGCTCATTGTATTGTTTACAAGCGTATTCGTGATGGAATTCAAGCGTGATAGTGTGAATTCTTTATATTTAGCTGGAAAACCACAAGTGGCTATCGTTAGAGCACTCCAGCATTTAAATGTGAATAAATATTTTGTATCTCGTACCATCGCTCGTTACCGTGATACTGGTAGCGTAGCTCCACGTGAAGGAATTGTACGGAAAATCAGCAACATCAGCAGAAATGGTTCGAAAAGTTAAGAAGCGACTTGACCGAAACCCACGTCGCAGTGGCCGAAAAATGGCTCGTGAGCTAAACATATCGCAATATTCCATTCGGAAAATATTGAAAAATGAGCTCGTGGTAAAGCCATTGAATTTCCAAAAAGTGGAAGAACTTACACCGCAAATGAAAGAAAATAGACTCAAAAGAGCTAAAGAGTTGCTTCGCTTGGCCGAATTTGGTTTTCTCCGATGAGAAAACATTCGTTGCAATTTGTTACAAAATAAGGTTCCTCGCTTCATTTCCAGCGCACAATGGCCACCAAAATATCCGGATACCAATTCGTTGGATTATTGCGTCTGGAGTATTTTGGAAAGCAAGTTTGGCACTAAAAAATCCCAAGTGTCGATAACCTCAAGCAAGCGGTTCGCCGGGAATGGGCCAAAATACCGCAGAGCAACATTCGGACAGCGTGTGACGGTTTCAAAAGCCGTTTTAAGGCCATAATTCGTGCCAAAGGTGACCAATTCGAAGAAATCTAAACTTATTCTAAAATTTGATGCTATTTCCTTTCATTTCAATTGAATTTACAAAAAAAAAAAAAAAAGAGAGCAAAGGCTACAGTCGAGCGGGGCCGACCGTTGAATACCCTACAACACTATAATAAACCATACAATTTATATAGGCGAAATGCTCGACAGAATTCCACAAGATATAGTGACAAATAATAAAAGAAAAAAACCATCAGGTTTCGTTCTCTAATTTTCGAATAATAGCAACTTAAACTAATTTGCTCATTTCCAATTTATTGGTAGATGCTGCACGTAAATGGTCTTCCTAGATCTGGAACCAATATTTCCCAAAGACCTATAACCTCTCAGAAGTGGCAAAAGATTAACATTTATTATTGCTTTTTGACTGAAACGCATCTATATGAGATACAGACATTTGACTATATTCTTCAACTAAATCAGCGTTAACGAAATAGTCAGAAGTGCGTCTTTCCTGTATTTGTGAATTCTCCAAAAAGTCACTGGAATGGACATTCTCGTATTTTATCTACAAAAGTTGGCAAACTCCTTCACACATTGAATATTTTTGGATGGCCATCCAAAACTGCTTGGCTTTTGCAATGTCCGGTAACCCCCATTCAAATGTGCGTGAGGATCGGGCGATAATTACGACCTGCCGACAATTTTGCAGTTTTTTGGTTCATTTCAACCCCTAAGTATATGGCGATCATCCCCAAAAAAAAGTAGACTTCTATTCTGACCCTCAACTTATCCCCATGCAAAATTTCGTAAGGATCGGGCCATAAATGAGATCTGTATATGATATCCTGATATCCTAACTACTTGTTAGCTGTAGAAATGTTTAATTCAAAATGAAAATATGCCAAAAATATGACAAAATTGAAAAAAATATGAGAAAATTTTACAAAATCAATATTTTCATCTTTAGAGAGATATTTTTATGCGATTTTTTAGACGTTTTTTCTTTCCTGCCAAGAGGCCATTCTGAATTAATGAGTACTTTCGAAATCAGTTCAGCCGTTCTCGACATATAAGAGATCTTTCAAGCATATCTCCTTTGATAGACATATATATCGCACATATTTTGCTATATATCTGATTTGTTGAATAATAACATCAATGTAAAGGTCATAAGTAACCTTGTGATGGCTTTGTGATTTCGCCGGGATTTAAAATATTCACGGTTTAATGAAAATTTTTAATTTTTTTCAACACAAAAGATATGGTATATTTTATCCGCTAAATATTATCCACCCAAATTAGTAGGCTTCTTCCCCGCCCTAAACTCTATCTACATGCGAAATTTCGCGTTGATTGGTCTATAATTGCGACCTGTATAGCTACTGCAAAATATGACATTTTTTCAGTATTTGGTCCATTTCAACCCCTAAACATTTGGCGATCATCTCCAAAAGCAATAGGGTTCTATTCTGACCATAGCCCCACCTACATTCTAAATTTCGTGAAGATCGGGCCATAATTGCGACCTGTAGAGTGATTACAAATTAACATGGACAGACGGACGGACGGACATACATAGCTAGATCGACTCAGCTCGGCGAGCTAGGAAGATCCATATATACTTTCCTATGTGGGAAACCAATATTTCGAGGTGTTACATAATTTTTGGCCCAATCAAACTTATAATACCCCCAACACATAGTGTTGTAGGGTATAAAAATGTAAAATTTATGGTGTTTGACTTTGTTGCAGTTTTTTTATCTCAGTTCACAAGTAGTTCACAAAATTTTTGTTAATTTTAGAAGTCGTAATGCCCAATCTGTTCATTATTTCTTGGGCAAAATGTCCAAACAAATTTCATACATCGTACTAAATTTTCAGCAGCACCAGTGCGATAAAATTTCATTCATACTCATGTTTTCCCTTTATCGAAAAGTATATTCGGAAAAATGATTAATTTTTGCCCCAAAAGACTTGAGAATCGTTTTGAAGTTTAATGGAGAGCTTATTATATAAACCCTTACACAATGGTTCCATATCCCATTTTTCCTATCGAAGTAATTTTAGGATTCCAGCCTCGTCTCTTCACCCAAAACCAAATAGAATACTATTTACCACCAAATCGCAAAAACACAGATATCAACTGTAATCTAAACCTTAAATTTAGGTATTTCAGCTCTATCCCTTGACCCAATACCTAATTTAGTACCACTTAGTACTTTTTGAACAATAATAGTACACATTTCCAAAACCACCGCTAAGCCTAGCACTATCACCTCACCCAATATCAAATTTAGGACGTATTATAGGACACATTTCCAACCCACCGCAAAATCTCAATCACAGATAAAAATCTTATTTAGAAATCATAGCTCTATTCCTTCACTTAAGTACCACTTAGTACTTTTTGAACAATAATAGTACACATTTCCAAAACCACCGCTAAGCCTAGCACTATCACCTCACCCAATATCAAATTTAGGACGTATTATAGGACACATTTCCAACCCACCGCAAAATCTCAATCACAGATAAAAATCTTATTTAGAAATCATAGCTCTATTCCTTCACTTAAGACCAAATTTATCAAAACTCAATATCAAATTTAGGATTTCAGTCCTATCCCTATACACAATACTATTTTTAGAATTTTCAATTATCGTGCAAATATAGGATGAATTTCCAAAACCACTGCCAAATCTCAAACACAGATACTAGAAGTAATCTAAATATCTTAAAAAAACATACCAAATATATTACCATTCAGTACTTTTCGCACAATTCTAGAACTCATTTCCGAAACCACCACCATATGTACAGGCGAGCCTAATACTAAATTTTAGAAATTTCAAGCGCTATCTAATCACCTAATACCAAATTATACCAAATATAGAACTATTCAGTACTTTTCGTGCTGTTGTAGTATCCATTTCTAAAACCACCGCTTTATTACAAACCAACCACCAATAGGGACCCCAATACAAAATTTAAGATTCCAGCTTCACCCGTTTGCTCTAAAGCAAACTGTTTCAAGTTTAGTACCATTTTGAACAGTTCGCAAACATAGTACACATTATCAAAACCACCTTAAAATATCAAACTTATTTTCCAACCTTGATTCTCATACCAATTTCTTTTTGTACCCTACAACACTATATGTTGGGGGTATTATAAGTTTGATTGGGCCAAAAATTATCTAACACCTCGAAATATTGGTTTCCCACATATGAAATATGGATCTTCCTATCTCGCCGAGCAGAATCGATCTAGCTATGTATGTCCGTCCGTCCGTCTGTCCATGTTAATGTATAATCACTCTACAGGTCGAAATTATGGCCCGATCTTCACGAAATTTAGAATGAAGGTGGGTCTAGAGCCAGAATAGGACCCTATTTCTTTTGGAGATGATCGCATAATATTTAGGAGTTGAAATGGACAAAAAACTGAAAAAACTGATTTTGCAGCTGCTCTACAGGTCACAATTATAGACCAATCAAAGCGGATGTTAGCATATGGCTAGAGCTTAGGGCTGGGCAGAAGCTTTCCAATTTTGATGGTCATCGGGTAATATTTAGTGGGTGAAATAGACCATAACATTTGTGTTAAATAAAAGCCAAATTTTCCATTAAACCGCGAATATTTTTAATCCCAGCGAAATCACAAATAGACGAAATGGTCAATTCTGACCGTTAGCCGGCTAAGCCTATTATATTCAAAGATGTCTACAATATATTTAGGGGTTGAAATTGACCAACAAAAATGTTCCTGATTTTGCAGGCGTTATAAAGGTCACAAATAGAAACCAAAGGAAACGAAATCTCGCATGAAGTTAAAGATGGGGACAGGGGGTAGAATGGACCACTACTTTTGTGTAAAAAATACCAGCGTTTATTACAGGCGATATCCGAAATAAAGAAAAGGCGAACTTCTGTCTTTTTATGCTGATTTCGTTGACGAATATAGGTATAGGTATCGTAGACAAGCAAATCATATAGATGAGTCTAAATGTGGAGATACAGAGGGGCCTTATGCTTTTGGAGATGATCGCAAAATATTTAGGGGCTCAAATGAACCAAAAACAGAAAAAAAATTCCTGATCACATAATTGAAGCCAATCGATACGCCTGTGGAGAGAGCACGACGGAGTGCGTAAATATTGGGCAAATGTCCCTGGTCAAAATGCTAAGAGTAATATCTGGGCAGTGCTCCGTGACATAATTTCAGAAGCTAAATCTTCCAAAATGGATTTGGACATAAGGGGACTTCTAACATATTGTAGTGTTGTAGGGTATCACATGGTAAGCCCCGCACGACTATAGCCTTTGCTTACTTGTTTTTCATAAAATAAAAAATAAAATAAAAATATTTCATCACATATTTTTTTATTCGAATATAACAATAACTAACAATCACAGTCGATCGGTTTTTATCTAATAAGCATAAGAGATAAGGGGAGATGCGAAAGAAGTTTTCACGACAGCAGGACCAGCGACGGCAGCCTTAACGACGGGAGCGGCAGCATAAGCAGCTGGGGCGGCATAGGTGAAGGGAGCAGCAACGGCGGCCTTTACAACGGGAGCAGCGGCGTAGGCAGCTGGTGCAGCATAACCGAAGTGGGCGGGAGCAACAGCCTTGACTACTGGGGCAGCAGCATAAGCAGCTGGTGCAGCATAGGCGACTGGAGCGGCAGTATAGGCAGCCTTAACGACAGGGGCGGCAGCGGCATAGGTGAAGGGAGCAGCAACGGCGGCCTTAACAACTGGAGCAGGAGCAGCAACAACGGGAGCAGCTACGGCAGTCTTAACAACGGGGGCAGCAGCAACAGCAGCTACCAAAGGTTCACGACGAACAACAGCGTTGAAACCGTTGACGGGGTCAGAGGTGTAGTCAACAATGCGTCTGTAACCATCAGCATCGTTCAAAGAGTATTGACCTTGGACGAAACCACCATCACGGGTTTCAACGGCGGTCTTGGAGTCACCGGAAAGAACATCCTTAACATCATAACCATAAGAGTATTGGGGATGGGGATCGTATTCCTCAACTTTAGCAACAGAGGCCAAAGGAGCAGCTGGGAGAACACCGGCACTGGCAACAGCTACGAGAGCAGCGAACAAAGTGACGAACTAGAAAGAAACCGCGAATATTAAATTCTAGATTAGTATCCATTATCCAAGGAACTTAAATCGATTTATATTCATATTATTTCGATTTATCCTCCTTACTTTGAATGCCATTTTAATAAGGTTTGGGTTGGTTGTTTTGATATGCTCTTAATACCAAAAATGGTTTTGAACTGTATCGTTTGCGAAGCATACGTTGTCTTTTATATGAAAATCAAAATGGACATTAAATATTTGCGTGTAGACATTGGCTATGACAAAATAAAAGTGTAATTTTGAAGCTCTGCTTCTGAACACTCATTGAATATTAACAATGGACAGAAAATCTAATTGTTGCTAGGGTAGGTGATGATTAATCTATAAGAAATCTACAACATAACTAGATAAATAAAATGGCTGTATACCCGGGGTGAGCAAGATGAGATGGGGTGAATCCAAAAGAAAACAAAATTCATTTGTGCTTTTCATCAGCGGTTATAGTTTTGGAGAAGTAAGCAAAGTCTACAGCCGAGTGCGGGCGAAAATGTGACACCCTATATCATTCTAATTGACGATAAAGTTTCTTTTTTTTTTTTTTTTTTTTTTGATTTGAATGAACCCATTTTTTCTAGATTTTGGGAGGAGACATAATTCGAATTGAAAGCAGATGCTGTAATCATCATGTTTTCCTTTCGAGATATCCAAACAAATCATGAAGCAAAATCTTTAAAAAACTTGGGATATTTAAAAGATCAACAAATTAAAGCACCGGCATTGAACGAAGTATGTGCATCTTCGGAATTGTGTTCAGAAATCTAAGCATAATGAAATTTTTATGCATTTCATGTTTATGTATGTTTTCGGTCCAATTCAGTCAGTCATGCAAAAGGGCTATATTGATTTTTGATAGGAACCACGAGACCATCCGAAATTTTGTGGCAATAGCTTTCTCTGAAAATCCATTTGGGCTGATATTAAATAAGCCAGAAATTGGAAAAAAAATATGGGAGCAAATCCAAATCTGAACCGATCGCGATAAAATTTGGCAGAGGTATTTCAACCCCGGTCAAATATTCCATATTGGAGCGTAAATATTTAAAACTAGAACTCACTTATTTTTTTTGTTTTGAAATTATAACGCGGTAATAAAGAGAGTAGTACTAAAGATTTGTTTGTGAGGGATTCCCTTCATAGCCAATCATCAATTCTATATATTTTTTTCTCTTCGAAACAAATACATGTCTCAGCTGCGTTTAATATTCAAGCTACGTTCATAAGCGTGGTGTCAATGTTACACTTTTATTTTGTTATTGCTATTTTCAACGCATGTGCACATGGTAACTAGACTAATTCACGTTTTTCAGTTTTAGATTTTTAACATATAAAAATCGATGCCTGTTTGCTACCCAATACAGTTCAACACCGCTTTCGGTCCCAAAGAACCCAAATCAAATATGGCATTCAAAGTAAGGGGCGATTCTACAACATAATACTTATATAAATCTAATCAAAATTGCATCTGGATAATATAATGCACCTGATTTCTTTTTAGTTCGTTACTTTGTTCGCTGCTTTCGTAGCTGTTGCCAGCGCTGGTGTTCTGCCAGCAGCTGCTCCATTCGCCGCCGTCGCCAAAGTTGAGGAATACGATCCCCATCCCCAATACTCTTATGGTTATGATGTTAAGGATGCCCTCTCCGGTGACTCCAAGACCGCCGTTGAGACCCGTGATGGTGGTTTCGTCCAAGGTCAATACTCTTTGAACGATGCTGATGGTTACAGTCGCATTGTTGACTACACCTCTGACCCCGTCAACGGTTTCAACGCTGTTGTTCGCCGTGAACCCTTGGTAGCTGCCGTTGCTGTTACCCCCGTTGTTAAGGCAGCCGTAGCTGCTCCCGTTGTTGCCGCCCCTGCTCCAGTTGTTAAAGCCGCCGTTGCTTCTCCCTTCACCTATGCCGCTGCCGCCCCTGTCGTTAAGGCTGCCTACACTGCTGCTCCATTTGCCTATGCCTCCCCAGCTGCTTATGCTGCTGCCCCCGCTCACTTCGGTTATGCTGTTCCTGCTGCCTATGCCGCTGGCCCCGTTGTTAGGCCTGCCGTTGCTGCTCCCTTCACCTATGCCGCCGCTGCTCCAGTAGTAAAAGCAGCTGTAGCCACCACTCCCTTCACCTATGCCGCCCCAGCTGCTTATGCTGCCGCTCCCGTCGTTAAGGCTGCCATCCCAGCTCCCGTCGTCGCTGGTCCTGCTGTCGTGAAAACCTCTTTCGCATCTCCCCTTATCTCTTATGCTTATTAGATACAAATTTATCGACTTTGATTGTTAGTTGTTGTTATAGCTGAATAAAGCGACATGTTATAAAATATTTTTATTAGAAAATTTTGTATTTTTTTTAATTTTTTTCATATATTTCTTGAGAAATAAATGTTAACCTCAGTGCAATTTTTTCGCCACTTACATCCTGTAATAACAGTTCGATGCAACCCGATATAGAAGCTATTACAACCAACAGCCTTTATATCCATTTTTTGGTGGAAGATACCAGCTTCATCCGTTTACTCTAAACCGAACTATTCCAAATTTAGTACAATTGTGTAGAGTTCGCACACATTGTCAAAACCACCTTCATATATCATGTTGGTATTGAAAATGAGATATATATATGTATCTTATCCAATATTTCATGATTTTTGCCACATTTCTTCATGGATTTGTCTAAAAATTGGTATTTGTTGGTCATAATAGGTTCTAGCTCCGGTGGCTATACATTATATATATTGGTCCACGTTTTTGTATAGGCCACATATAACGGTGCCTCCCGATATTCGGTATTTTGATAATTGTTACCACATTTTTCCACGAATTTGTCTAGAAATTTGTTTTGGTAGTTCTTATTGGGTTCTCGCTCCGATGCCAGTACATTGAATATTTAGGTCCATGTTTCCCTATAGCGTACATATAAAGAAACCACCGATATTCGGTATTTTGATAATTCTAGTCACATTTACCCACATAATTGTTTAAAACTTGGTATTTTAGAAGATTTTCTTGATGACAATCCTAGAAGTATAAATTTGTCTATAGAGGTTCCCGTTTTGGTATGCCCCCCTATAACGGCCTCACTCACTTTATGGTTTTTTGATAGGTTTAACTGCATTATCCAAACGGTCTTACTTGTATATAGTGTTTAAAGTGGAACACGCTTGAATTCGGATACTTTTATATAGAAAAGTTTCCTTTGCCAAAGGTGAAGGCTATTAAAAGTTCGGCCCGGCCGAATGTATTGTTTTTTTACTTGTGTTTCTTAAAACATCCAAAAATTTATATTAAACATATTTTATCACATTTCTTTTTATTCGGCTATAATAACAACTAACAATCACAGTTTTCCGTTTTTATCTAATAAGCATAAGAGATAAGAGGAGATGCGAAAGAAGTTTTCACAACAGCTGGGCCAGCGACGATAGGAGCAGGGACAGCAGTCTTAACGACGGGAGCGGCAGCATAGGCAGCTGGGGCGGCATAGGTGAAGGGAGCAGTAACGGCAGCCTTAACAACTGGGGCAGCGGCGTAGGCAGCTGGGGCAGCATAGCCGAAGGTAGCTGGGGCAACAGCCTTGACTACTGGGGCAGCAGCATAAGCAGCTGGGGCGGCATAGGCGACTGGAGCAGCAGTGTAGGCAGCCTTAACAACAGGGGCGGCAGCGGCATAGGTGGAGGGAGCAGCAACGGCGGCTTTAACAACTGGAGCAGGAGCAGCAACAGCGGGAGCAGCTACGGCAGCAACCAAAGGTTCACGACGGACAACAGCGTTGAAACCGGTGACGGGGTCGGAGGTGTAGTCAACAATGCGTCTGTAACCATCAGCATCGTTCAAAGAGTATTGACCTTGGACGAAACCACCATCACGGGTCTCAACGGCGGTCTTGGAGTCACCGGAGAGGGCATCCTTAACATCATAACCATAAGAGTATTGGGGATGGGGATCGTATTCCTCAACTTTAGCAACGGCGGCCAACGGAACAGCTGGAAGAACACCGGCGCTGGCAACAGCTACGAGAGCAGCGAACAAAGTGGCGAACTAAAAAGAAAAAAGGTGCAAACGATGTTCCATTATCCTGATGCAATTTTAATTAGATTTATATGAGTTATATATTGTAGAATCATCCTTACTTTGAATGCCATTTTATTAAAGATTATTTTGGGTTCTCTTGACCGAAAGCGATGTTGAACTGTATCGTTTAGTAAACCTACATCGATTTTTATATGTTAAACAACTAAAACTAAAAATGTGAAGTAGTCTGGTGGTTACCATGTGCACACGCGTTGAAAATAGCAGTGACAAAATAAAAGTGTGACATTGAAACCACGCTTATGAATGTAGCTTGAATATTAAACGCAGCTGAGACAATTTTTTTTTATCAAAGAGAAGAAAAAGTTTGAGTGGATGATTTCTTAAAGTAAGGAATTTATTATTAGTTGACACTTAACCAAACGCGCCTTCATCTTTAATAAAGCATTGATGCAGTAAAGTTTTTAGTAATAAATTAAAAATAAGGTGATTCATAAATGGTATATTTACACACCTATGCACTGAATATTCTTAAAGCTCTTGTAAAAATATTTTTTACATAGAAACCATGGTTCCAGGAAATTGTTTGGTAACATTTTTCACCACTAATTTTGGTCAGGTAGTTATTTAAGCTCTTAATATAAAACTCAACAAAAGTCCCAAAAGAAAACTTTAGAAATATTCTTTAATATTCTTCATTTTGTCTCTTGAAAAATATTTCTAATATTTCTTTCTTTGTGACCAAGAAGTTGATGAGAAATATTGGTTAGGCAGAAAATCCTTGAAAATGTTTTAAAAAATTCCAGATTCTTGTCCAAGTACTTAATTTTTTTTAAATACTTCAAAAAATATAATAATAGTTAAACAAAGTAGCCGAAATGGAACTCATTCGAAATCAGTCACTAAAATAAATGTTTTCTTTACCAACTGCTGGAGGGTATTAAAAACGGCTCTGCAAAAATGAAGATCCTTTTATATCCTTTGAGTGTAGTTTATTAAGATCCTGTAACTTCTAATTTTCTTGTACTTTGAAGCTAAAAAGTAAAAAAAAAACAGTAAAGAAAGTCCTAAAGTCGGGCGGGGCCGATTTTATGATACCCTACACCACTTTGCTAATTTAGTTGAGCTCCACCTAATAATTAAAAGATTTTATCGGAGAATTCAATCATACACGCTATGATTATAATTATAATTTAAAATTCAAAGGACTAAATATGCCGAAGCATTTGTATCTTCGGGCTGATATTACACGTTTGGTGCACAATAAAAGGCAAATCGGACGAAGATATATATGGGAGCTATATCTAAATTTTTACCGATTATCTCCAATTTCAATAGGGTTCGTCCTTGGGCCAAACAAATGTTGTTCGCAAAATTTCATCTCAATCGGATAATAAATGCGACCTGCATTTTGTTCACAAGAATACATGGACAGACGGACGGACAGACGGACTGACATGCATAAATCAACACAGAAAGTGATTCTATGCAGATCATCAAAAGGAACTATGGGTCTATCTCGTTTCCTTTTGCCTGTTACAAACAAATGCACAAAGACATAATACCCTGACCTTGTGGTGTAGGGTATAAAAATGTGTATAATCTTTCCTAAGAACCGTTTCTAAGAGCTTCGTATTTTCTGAAAAGTTTTTTACAAAGATCGTAGGTACATGTTTGTGATAGATTGCTTCCACAAATGTCTAATGATTTGACATCTGTAGACCAAACAACGAGAAAGGATATTAAATCTGACGATTTTGACCTTGGAGATAATGTTTGATTGAGTCTATATGACAGCGATTTTTATCTCAATGCCTGAGCTAAAAGACAAAATAAGGCCTGACAAAATGATAAATTTTAATATCATGGTCCCAAACCGGCACAAAAATCCAAATGATAACTCTCGAAGGGAGTATTCGATTTGATCCAAACTTGGTACATCTTAATATTATTGTCAAGCCTAGATCGCGTTCGGAGATGGGCAATATCGGTCCACCCCTCTTGCTACCCCCACTCACAAAATGTAAAAACTTTTAAAGAAAATATTTTAACGCACATAACAAAAAAGGATCGTCCGGTTTTGTGCAAACTTTGCAAACCCAAATATTTGTATGAGTCCTATGTCAGGTGGTAAAATAGACAATATCGAACAACTCCCTCTGGTACTTCCCCACAACGGGTCAAAATTTTTGAATAATTATGTCATTCATAAAAAGCGAAATTGTCATTTGATTATCTTTAAATTTCACATAACGCAATATTTTTATTTACACAAGATCTGTTAATGATGCAGATGATAGATGTCGGCCTACCTCTTCTGGTACCTCCCGCACAAAGGGTCACAAATTTAAATACTTTTAGGACTCATAACATGCGAAACAAGTCGGCTATTATTTTCAAACTTTGCATATCTAAATGTTTCTCTCAACCAGAGATCTGAAATAAATATAAAATTTATCAGCTCAATCCTTCTCGATCCTCCCCCACAAAATGTTAACATTTTGACTAACACTTATTCCCATAAAATTGGTAACAGATCTCTGATTCTGATATAAATTTTATCATATCCCAATATTCTTAGATGATGTGGAATACTTAGGTCCACTATATCTGGTACTTCACGCATTTTTCAAAATTTTCGAAAAATTATCGCATTAGTCATATAAAGTGGAGGAAATAGTTAATAAGGTTCAAATTGGGTAAGTTATAATATTTATATCAGAGTTAGATCAGATTAGAGCAGTATATTCTCCATAAAGGTTTAGCTTTTTGAATTATCATAATGTTAGTCATAACATATTTAAATAAACTGAAATAAGCTGAGGTAAACATATGTCGGTTAATTTTAATTTAAACAAATACATTTGTTATTGAAAATCCTTTTCAGCTTTTTCTAAATCTCTATCTTTTGAAAATAAAAACAATTAACATTTTAAATTAAATAAATTCTTGGCATATCTTTATTCATCCATAACAACTAACAATCACAGTCGATCCGTTTTTATCTAATAAGCATAAGAGATAAGGGGAGATGCGAAGCTAGTCTTTACAACAGCTGGGCCAGCAACAACGGGAGCAGGAACGGCAGCCTTAACAACGGGGGCAGCGGCATAGGCAGCTGGGGCAGCATAGCCGAAAGTAGCTGGGGCAACAGCCTTGACGACGGGGGAAGCAGCATAAGCAGCTGGGGCGGCATAGGCGAATGGAGCGGCAGTGTAGGCAGCCTTAACGACAGGGGCGGCAGCGGCGTAGGTGAAGGGAGCAGCAACGGCGGCCTTAACAACAGGAGCGGCAGCATAAGCAGCGGGGGCGGCATAGGCGACTGGAGCAGTAGAGTAGGCAGCCTTCACTACTGGAGCAGCAGCGGCATAGGTGAAGGGAGCAGCAACTGCGGCCTTAACAACTGGAGCAGGGGCAGCAACAACGGGAGCAGCTACGGCAGCCTTAACAACGGGGGCAGCAGCAACGGCAGCTACCAAAGGTTCACGACGAACAACAGCGTTGAAACCGTTGACGGGGTCAGAGGTGTAGTCGACAATGCGTCTGTAACCATCAGCGTCATTCAAAGAGTATTGACCTTGGACGAAACCACCATCACGGGTCTCAACGGCTGTCTTGGAGTCACCGGTGAGGGCATCCTTAACATCATAACCATAAGAGTATTGGGGATGGGGATCGTATTCCTCAACTTTGGCAACGGCGGCCAATGGAGCAGCTGCTGGCAGAACACCGGCGCTGGCAACAGCTACGAGAGCAGCGAACAAGGTAACGAACTAGAAAAATACGAGGGGTAAAATATTTATTAAAATTCATTATCCGTGGAATTTCCTTAATTATATATGTATATCCGTAATCCTTACTTTGAATGCCATTTTAATGCGTTTAGGGGTGGTTGGTTCTTTTGAGATGCTTTAAAAGCCAAAAGTGGAATTGAACTGTGTTGCTTGTCCAACACTTTTGGATTTTTATATAAAAATCTAAAAAAAAAAAAAACAAATATCAAATCGCTTCACAAAATACTTAGCATATGCATGTGAAGGTATGTATTGATAGCGGCTACTGTCGCCGAAATAAAAGTGTAACATTGAACTAGTACCATTTAACGTTTATTGCATACTAATATTTCGACAATGCGGTAGGTGTTCCCACTTAAAGTTTGTATTGTTATGGTGATGAACATTTTATTGAAAATAGTTAGAATTTTCATACGCCAAAGAATGACGTGAATTAGTCAAATGTCGTTTTATTTTTTTTGTACAAAATTAACTAGATAAATATCTGTAACTTATAATTCTACTTAAAAAAAGACATAGGCGAATACATTTGCGTTGAAAGTTGCTGTAAGAAGTGCAAAAAGTGATTGTTATTTTATATAAAAATAATTGCGAAAATCTTGCAAGCATAACTCCAATAGAATTGTGGGTCATATACTTTATGGAGTTATAGGTACATTAATAAACTATTTTTGCATTATGATGCAGGACTCCAAAAATCTCCAACTTGACATCATTTTAGAAAACACAAAAAAAAAATATTTACAAAATTTTATTTTGTTAGAGAAAAATATCAACATTTCCACTGTATTTAAAACACGTAAAAAAGCAGCTGTGTTCGTCCGGGTCGAATTTTTAATACCCTCCACCATTTGGAAGGAATTTGAAAAATTTCAAAAAATTCCGGTGAATAATGTCGCTAAAATCACTAAAATACGGAATTAAGGGAGGTGCCGGGATTTGGTATAGTTGTCTTCCTACAGCTGTTAAAATTATTCCAATGACAGCTTATTATATTTTTAACAAGCGTACAATAATTTCTTTGGCTGGAATTCCACAAGTGATTGTCGTCAGAGCACTCCAACATTTAAATCTGAATAAATCTTTTGTGTCTCGTACCATCGCTCATTACCGTGATACTAGTAGCGCAGCCAGCGCTCTCCTCTCGTATTAATCGACCGTGGCATCAGAATAAATGATTAATATTATCGCGAAAATATTCTGGAGGGTGTATTAAAGCCTTGGGCACGCAAACATTTTAGCTGCAGACATTGGACATTCCAACCCAAGAATGGTCACAAAATGAGGTTCCTCGCTTCATTTCCAGCGCACAATGGCCACCACAATCTCCGGATACCAATCCGTTGGACTATTGTGTTTGGAGTATTTTGGAAAGCAATCTTGGCACTAACAAATACCAAAGTGTCGATCATCTCAAGTAAGCGCTTCGCCGGAAATGGGCCAAAAAAACCACAGGATAATATTCTGGCAGCGTTAGACGGCTTCATTAGCCGTTTGAAGGCCATAATTCGGTCCAGTGATACCAATTCGAACAAATCTTAACTTATTTTGCAATTTGATGCTTTTTCCGACATTTTGTGCTTTTGACATTTTGTGCTTTCATTAAATAAAATTAAAAAAAAAAAAATTTCAAAATTATGGCATTTGACTTAGTTGCAGTTTTTTTTTTTTATCTCACCTTGTATATACCTGCTTTGTGGAGTCCAAAATGTATATTTCGAAGTGTTACAAATGGAATGACAAACTTAAAACTTACTATGATAAAGGGTATAAAAAGCATCAATGTTCCAAAAAATCCTAAAATGTTAAATAATTTTTTTTTCATAAATTTCCCTCGGACTTTTTCTAGTTGACGCCTGAAACTAACATAAAATTTCGTTTTAGGCGGAATTTGTCAGAAAGAGAAATGTCATACAAATTTTTTATTATAAATCTTAGAATAAGTCATTTATCTAGCTTCAAAATTCATATACTAAAAGTGAAAAATAATGTTTTATAAACTCGTATCCAATGCGAGTAAAAATCTCCCTTTATACATTTTTTGGACAATGTGTCAAAGTAGAAATTATTCTGGATAGAATTTCATTGTGGATCTCTGAATAAAGACCATTCGTGTACCAAATATGTACCATAAAAAATAGTATACATTTTTGTTAAGAAACCCATAGTATATTTCTGAAAAATTTAGCATTTTTTCTAAATTCGCTGCAAATTTTCTTATAATTTCATTGCTATCACTCGACTACCACCATTTGGCCTAAGAACCCAGAAGTCATTTGAGGTTTTAATCTAAAAATGAGGACTAACAAGTCCACTTGGCATATTTCCACAACCCAGACTGGTACAATGAAATTATAAGAGAATGTACAGCGAACTGGGTAAACTGCTATTTTTTCAGAAATGAACAATATTTTTTATCAATAACGAAATTGTATGCTAATTTCAGGCGTCAACTCGAAAAAATTGAATTCTGAAGCACTATGCGCCGTAAAAAGTATCCCATGAAAATGACACGACAATAATTTTTGCTCCAATCCGCTATATAGTTTAAACTCAACCAAATATATGTCTTATTGAAAATCCTTTCCCGCCTCAGCTTTCACTAAATCTGTACCTTTTGCAATAAAAACAATAAACATTTTTAATTAAATAAATTCATGGCATATCTTTATTCATCCATAACAACTAACAATCACAGTCGATCCGTTTTTATCTAATAAGCATAAGAGATAAGGGGAGATGCGAAGCTAGTCGTTACAACAGCTGGGCCAGCAACAACGGGAGCTGGGACGGCAGCCTTAACAACGGGGGCAGCGGCGTAGGCAGCTGGGGCAGCATAGCCGAAGGTAGCTGGGGCAACAGCCTTGACGACGGGGGAAGCAGCATAAGCAGCTGGGGCGGCATAGGCGAATGGAGTGGCAGTGTAGGCAGCCTTAACTACAGGGGCGGCAGCGGCATAGGTGAAGGGAGCAGCAACGGCGGTCTTAACAACAGGAGCGGCAGCATAAGCAGCGGGGGCGGCATAGGCGACTGGACCAGTAGAGTAGGCAGCCTTCACTACTGGAGCAGCAGCGGCATAGGTGAATGGAGCAGCAACGGCGGCCTTAACAACTGGAGCAGGAGCAGCAACAACGGGAGCAGCTACGGCAGCCTTAACAACGGGGGCAGCAGCAACGGCAGCTACCAAAGGTTCACGACGAACAACAGCGTTGAAACCGTTGACGGGGTCAGAGGTGTAGTCGACAATGCGTCTGTAACCATCAGCGTCATTCAAAGAGTATTGACCTTGGACGAAACCACCATCACGGGTCTCAACGGCGGTCTTAGAGTCACCGGTGAGGGCATCCTTAACATCATAACCATAGGAGTATTGGGGATGGGGATCGTATTCCTCAACTTTAGCAACGGCGGCCAAGGGAGCAGCTGGCAGAACACCGGCGCTGGCAACAGCTACGAGAGCAGCGAACAAGGTAACGAACTAGAAAAATACGAGGGGTAAAATATTTATTAAAATTCATTATCCGTGGAATTTCCTTAGGTATATATGTATATCCGTAATCCTTACTGTGAATGCCATTTAAATGCGTTTAGGGGTGGTTGGTTCTTTTGAGATGCTTTAAAAGCCAAAAGTGGAATTGAACTGTGTTGATTGTCCAACACTTTTGGATTTTTATATAAAAACCTAAAAAAAAAACAAATATAAAATCGCTTCACAAAATACTTAGCATATGCATGTGAAGGTATGTATTGATAGCGGCTGGTGTCGCCAAAATAAAAGTGTAACATTGAACTAGTACCATTTAACGTTTATTGCATACTAATATTTCGACGATGCAGGAGGTGGAACACCACTTAAAATTTGTACTGTTATGGTGATGAACATTTTATTGAAAATAGTTAGAATTTTCATACGCCAAAGAATGACGTGAATTAGTCAAATGTCGTTTTAATTCTTTTGTACAAAATTAAGTAGATAAATATCTGTAACTAATAATTCTACTTAAAAACGACGTAGGCGAACACATTATCGTAGAAAGTTGCTGTAAGAAGCGCAAAAAGTGATTGTTATTTTATATAAAAGTAATTTGCGAAAATCTTGCAAGCATAACTCCAATAGAATTGTGGGTCATATACATTACAGAGTTATAGGTTAATAAACTCATTTTTGCATTATGACGCAGGACTCCAAAAATCTCCAACTTGACATCATTTTAGAAAACAAAAAAAAAAATTATTTAAAAAATTTATTTTGTTAGAGAAAAATATCAATATTTCCACTGTATTTAAAACACGTAAAAAAGCAGCTGTGTTCGTCCGGGTCGAATTTTTAATACACTTCACCATTTGGAAGGGACTTGAAAATTTTCAAAAAATGCTGGTGAATAATGTCGCTAAAATACCCAATTAAGGGAGGAACCGGGATTTAGTATGGCTGTCGTCCTACTGCTGTTAAAATTATTCCAAATGACAGCCTTTTATATTGTTTACAAGCGTACAAAAGCATTTTTGTGAGAATTTTCCAGAAAAAAAGTTATTCAAGCGTGGTAGTGTGATTTCTTTATATTTCGCTGGAAAACCACAAGTGACTGTCGTTAGAGCACTCCAACATTTAAATCTGAATAAATCTTTTGTTTCTCGTACCATCGCTCATTACCGTGATACTAGTAGCGTAGCCAGCCGTCAAGGAAGTGGACGGAAGAAAACAGCAACATTAGGCCGCCATAACAGCCGATGGTCCCTCTCCGCTCGTATTAATCGACCGTGGCATCAGAATATATGCCGAATATTATCGAGAAAATATTCTAGAGGGTGTATTAAAACCTTGGGCACGCAAACATTTTGGCTGCAGACCTTAGACATTCCAACCCAAGAATGGTCACAAAACGAGGTTCCTCGCTTCATTTCCAGCTCACAACGACCACCAAAATCTCCGGATACCAATCCGTTGGACTATTGTGTCTGGAGTATTTTGGAGAGCAAGCTTGGCACTATCAAATACCAAAGTGTCGATCACCTCAAGTAAGCGCTTCTCCGGGAATGGGCCAAAATAACGCAGAGCATCATTCGGGCAGCGTGTGACGGTTTCATTGGCCGTTTGAAGGCCATAATTCGGTCCAAAGGTAACCAATTCGAACAAATCTTAACTCATTTTGCAATGTGATGCTATTTCCAACATTTTTTGCTTTCATTCAATAAAATTTGAAAAAAAATTAAAAGTTATTGCGTTTGACTTTGTTGCAGTTTTTTTATCTCACCCTGTATATACCTGCTTTGTGGAGTCTAAAATGTATATTGCGAAGTGTTACAAATTGAATGACAAACTTAAAACTTAATATGGTAAAGGGTATAAAAAGCATAAATGTTCCAAAAAATCCTGAAATGTTAAATAATTTTTTGATCAAATTTTTCTCGGACTTTTTCTAGCTGACGCCTGAAAGTAACATAAAATTTCGTTTTAGGCGGAATTTGTCAGAAAGAAAAATGTACTACACAAATTTTCACTACAAATCTTAGAATAAATCATATATCTAGGTTGAAAATTCATATACTAAAAGTGAACAAGTAAAAAAACATTAAGTTCGGCCGGGCCAAACTTTTAATACCCTCCACCTTAGGTTAAAGGAAACATTAGAACCTATATACCAATTTTTAGACATATTCATGGGAAAATGTGCCAAAAGTCATCAAAATACCAAACATCTGGCTATATGGTGCTATACAAAAACGTGGACCTATACATGAAGTGTTTCGCCAAAAGAGCTATAACCCATTAAGACCAACAAATACCAATTTCCAGACAAATCCGCGAAGAAATGTGGCAAAAACCATTAAAATATAGAATATCGGGAGGTACCTTTATATGGGGGCTATACCATATCGTGGACCTATACATGCAATGTCTCGCTACATGAACTAGGACCCGTTATGGCCTACAAATACCAATTTTAAGACAAATCCGCGAAGAAATTTGGCAAAAACCATTAAAATACCGAATATCTGGTGGTACCGTTATATGGGGACTATACCAAAACGTGGACCGATATTTTCAATACCAACCATCCTAGACACAATAAAAATTGCTCTGCTAAATTTTGGCGCTCTACGTTAAATAATGTGGGCTGTATCGTGATTTCAAGAGACAGAGGGACGGACGGACAGACAGACAGACGGACATCGTTAAATTTTACTTAGAATTTTATGCTGATTATGAATATATACACTTTATGGGGTCTACGACGAATATTTAAGGATGTTACAATGTCAAAGTTAATATACCCTCCTTTCCTAGGTGGAGGGTATAAAAATGCGAGTAAAAATCTCTCTTTATACATTTTTTGGAGAATGTGTCAAAGTAGAAATTATTCCGGATAGAATTTCATTGTGGATCTCTGAATAAAGATTCGTGTACCAAATATGTACCATAAAAAATAGTATACATTTTTGTTAAGAAAAACTTTCTTTATTTCTGAACAATTTAGCATTTTTTCTCAATTCGCTGCAATTTTTCTTATAATTTCATTGCTATCACTCGACTACCACCATTTGGCCTAAGAACCCAGAAGTCATTTGAGGTTTTAATCTAAAAATGAGGACTAACAAGTTCACTTGGCATTTTCCACAACCCAGACTGGTACAAAATGTACAGCGAACTGGGTAAACTGCTATTTTTTCAGAAATGAACAATATTCTTTATCAACAACGAAATTTTATGCTAATTTCAGGCGTCAACTCGAAAAAATCGAATTCTGAAGCACTATGCGCCGTAATAAGTACCCCATGAAAATGGCATGACACTAATTTTTGCTCCAATCCGCTATTTAGTTTAAACTCAGCCAAATATATGCCTTATTGAAAATCCTTTCCCGCCTCAGCTTTCACTAAATCTGTACCTTTTGCAATAAAAACAATAAACATTTTAAATTAAATAAATTCATGGCATATCTTTATTCATCCATAACAACTAACAATCACAGTCGATCCGTTTTTATCTAATAAGCATAAGAGATAAGGGGAGATGCGAAGCTAGTTTTTACAACAGCTGGGCCAGCAACAACGGGAGCTGGGACGTTAGCCTTAACAACGGGGGCAGCGGCATAGGCAGCTGGAGCAGCATAGCCGAAGGTAGCTGGGGCAACAGCCTTGACGACGGGGGAAGCAGCATAAGCAGCTGGGGCGGCATAGGCGAATGGAGTGGCAGTGTAGGCAGCCTTAACTACAGGGGCGGCAGCGGCATAGGTGAAGGGAGCAGCAACGGCGGCCTTAACAACAGGAGCGGCAGCATAAGCAGCGGGGGCGGCATAGGCGACTGGACCAGTAGAGTAGGCAGCCTTCACTACTGGAGCAGCAGCGGCATAGGTGAATGGAGCAGCAACGGCTGCCTTAACAACTGGAGCAGGGGCAGCAACAACGGGAGCAGCTACGGCAGCCTTAACGACGGGGGCAGCAGCAACGGCAGCTACCAAAGGTTCACGACGGACAACAGCGTTGAAACCGTTGACGGGGTCAGAGGTGTAGTCGACAATGCGTCTGTAACCATCAGCGTCATTCAAAGAGTATTGACCTTGGACGAAACCACCATCACGGGTCTCAACGGCAGTCTTAGAGTCACCGGTGAGGGCATCCTTAACATCATAACCATAAGAGTATTGGGGATGGGGGTCGTATTCCTCAACTTTAGCAACGGCGGCCAAGGGAGCAGCTGGCAGAACACCGGCGCTGGCAACAGCTACGAGAGCAGCGAACAAGGTAACGAACTAGAAAAATACGAGGGGTAAAATATTTATTAAAATTCATTATCCGTGGAATTTCCTTAATTATATATGTATATCCGTAATCCTTACTTTGAATGCCATTTTAATGCGTTTAGGGGTGGTTGGTTCTTTTGAGATGCTTTAAAAGCCAAAAGTGGAATTGAACTGTGTTGATTGTCCAACACTTTTGGACTTTTATATAAAAAACTAAAAAAGAAATATAAAAGCGTATCACAAATTATTTAGCATATGCATGTGAAGGTATGTATTGATAGCGGCTGGTGTCGCCAAAATAAAAGTGTAACATTGAACTAGTACCATTTAACGTTTATTGAAAACTAATATTCCAATAATGCGGGAGTTGTTCGCACTGAAAATTTGTGTTTTATGGTGATGACATTTTACTGGAATGCTTAGAATTTTCATGCACCGAATAGAGTTGAATTTCCCAAATAAAATGAATTGACAAATATGATATCTATTTTAATAAAAGTGTAAAGTAATTGACTGACTGGCTGAATGACTTAATGATTCATCAACGCCTAGACGAAACGGCTGAAGCTAGAATCTTGAAAATTTGGGTAAGAGTCACTCTTGGTCCAAGGATGTCCGATAAGGCTAGGTTTTTGGAAATTCGAACTCGTACTAGACTAGAATAGTTCTAAAAAGTACTAAATGGATGTACTAAAGTACCATTTCGTATCATGTGAACGGTTAGAGCTACAAACGTAAAATTTGGAATGGAAACGGAGGTTGAGGAGTAGGGTCGATATAAGGAGGTAGTTTCGGAATTGTGTACTCATTCATACGAAAAGTACTAAACTGTTCTAAATTTGGTAAAATTGGAATTTGGAGTAATGGATGGAGCTGGAGTCCTGAAATTTAAAATTAACATTACTGGCGGAGTGTAGGATTGGGGTATGGACTTAATTTTCAAAATTTGTACTTATATGCAGGACCGGTACTAATTTGAATTTCAGTAAACCGATAGAGCTGGAATCCTTTAATTTGGAAATAAGATTACTTTGCATTGTAGGATTGGCGTATGTAGATAGTTTTGGAAATTTGTACTTATGTGTACGGAATGGTACCAAATTTGGCACAATTTAAATTTTGGTGGAACCGATGGAGTCGGAATTCTGAAACTTAGAAATAAGATTTCTATTGTACTTACGTATAGGAAATGGTACAAAATCTTGTACAATTTAAATTATGGGAGAACCAATAGAGTTGGAATCCAGAAATTTGGAACTAAGATTACTATTGCATTGTAGGGCTGAGGTATGTAGATGGTTTTGGAAATTCGTACTTATTTGTACTAAATGATACTAAATTTGGTACAATTTAAATTGGGCGTGAACCGGTAGAGTTGGAAGCCTTAAATTTTGAAAAAATAAGATTTAGATTGTATGATGTAAGTAGTTTTGTAAATTCGTACTTTTGTATACTAAATGGTACTAAATTTGGTATAATGAGGATTTGTGTGAACAGATATGGCTGGAATCCTGAAAGTGGGTAATGAGATTTTTATGGGATTATATGATGCAGATGGTTATTGAAATGTGTACTTATGTGTACCAAATGACACTTAATTTGGTACAAGTTGGTTTTGTGTAGAGCTGAAAATTTGGAATACGATTTCTAAGGATTGTAGAGGTATATATTTGTATGTACTAAATTTGGTACAATTTGGATGTGTGTGAACAGAAAGAGCTGAAATCCCGAAATTTGGAAACAAGATTACTTTTTTTTAGGGTTGAGTTATGTGTACTAAATAGTACTTAATTTGTCATAAATTCGATATGGAGCTAGAGTTTTGAAATTTGGAACTATTTTTGAAAATAAGTACTACAAGAGTAGAAAAGGCGAAAAGTTTACAACATTTAGTGTTGATCGTAGGGACAGTTAGATTTCTGAGTTTTAGTGTTTGGGTCAGAATTGGTGTATAGTGTTGAGATATGGAGATGGTATTGGAAATACGTACCGTAGATGTATGAAAGGTATTAAATGGCACTAAAATGTGCTAAAAAGTGGTACTAAATTTGGTATTTGGATAAGGATTTGAGTTGGAAGTCTAAAATTTAGAATTAGATCGCCTTTTGTGCGAATTGGTTGATATATGGCGTGGAACTTGGAAATACCAAATACTAACTTAGCATAGATTCAGTCAATATAAATTCCTTATTCCGCATACGAAGTAGCGGGCTCTTGCTAGTAACTAATAAGTCTACTTTAAAAAGAGACATAGGTGAACATATTTTATGTCGCGTGAAAATGCCTAGATTTAGTAGATATCGTCGAAAGTTGCTGTAAGAAGCTTCGAAAGTGATTGTAATCTTCTTCTATATGTACAGGGTTGCCTATATTCGACGGACCCATCTGGCAACGCCATAACTTTTGACAGAGATGTCACATCGCTTAATGACATACCGCGTTTGAATCGTCAGTCCAAGCAGATTTTTACCATGAACCAATACACGCCACGCGTGCGCTCTGAAATAGTTGAAATTTACAAGAAGTCAATTGTGAAAACTCAACGTGCTTTTAAAACATTAAAAAATGTGAGAAGTGCGCCTTCTAAGAACACCATTAAGCGTTTATACGAAAAATTTTAGACTGGTAAGGCTCTTTCTAATCCGAAGAGGCCATATAAAAGTCGACCAAGGCGATCGGCCGAGAATATCGCTGCCGTAAGAGCCAGTGTTGAGAGGTCCCCAAAAACGCCGTTCTCAGCAGTTGGGCATGGCTCGGTCCACTTTACAACGGATTATTCGCATTGATTTGCATTTGTTCCCGTAAAAAATTCAATTGACGCAAAATATGTTGCCTGCGGACAAGCCTCGTCGATTGGAATGGGCCCAAAGGTCCGTCGAATATGGGCAACCCTGTATATATAAAGGAGGAAAATGTTTGTACGTTTGTAATTTATGGACTCAAAACTAATTTTCCTGAAAATTTCCAAATATATTACAGCATTGCCCGAATGTAACATAGGCTATATATATTTTTGAATTTTTACTTGGAACTGGAGATATAGCATTAGAATCGGAGTTACCTCCAAAAATGATTTTGTGTGCACATGTATTTTGATCGGTTATATTTACAGTCTTCAAATTTGGAATGTGTAACGGAATTCGGTGCAAAAATAAATTTGTAAATTATATTGAAATTGCTCCATATTTTGATTTGATATAGTTCCATATATATTTTCGGCCGGTTTCATATATTTGTCATAGGAGTAATTTTTGAATGCATCCTGAGAAGAATATCCCCAGACAAAACCCAAGGGAACTGATTAGAATTGATGGTTCTTCCCAAAACCATTTTTCTCCACTAATAATTATATATCTCAGATATAATTATTTGATTTTTAGATATTTAATTCGACCTTTATTATATATTTTTACAAATTCAAATTTAATAAAAAATGAGCTCGAGGTCTTTGTTGTTGTTTAATTATTTATTATTTTCGATATTTCGTCCTCCAACGGAAGACATCATCAGGAACAATACTGTTTAAACATATAACAAAATTTTACAAAATATCGCTGAGCTTCGATATATCGATATCAGATATATCCTAAGTAGTATCCGATTTTGCTGGAACTGCGAGCTCTGTTATATTTTCAAGTGATATTTTCAATTTCAAGTGAGAAAATCGGCAATATCGGGCGAGTTTCTCTGCAACCTTTACGACAATGGGTCATATTACGGCCACTTATTAAAATAGTTCAACATAATTGTATATCGAATAAAAGTTTATTTCAGATATCAATTATAGTTTTTGCCTGGAAAAGTGAATGCTGTGCCATAATATGTATCCCATAAAAATTACACTGTTTTATATATTGTTCCCATCCGAGTTCGAATTTGTATTAAACAAAAAGTCCACTAGGAATTTGGCATTAAAAGTCCCATGGCTCAATTAAATAAAATCATGGCATATCTTTATTCAGCTATAACAACTAACAATCACAGTCGATCCGTTTTTATCTAATAAGCATAAGAGATAAGGGGAGATGCGAAGCTAGTTTTTACGACAGCTGGGCCAGCAACAATGGGAGCAGGGACGGCAGCTTTAACAACGGGGGCAGCATAGCCGAAGGTAGCTGGGGCAACAGCCTTGACTACTGGGGCAGCAGCATAAGCAGCTGGGGCGGCATAGGCAAATGGAGCGGCAGTGTAGGCAGCCTTAACGACAGGGGCGGCAGCGGCATAGGTGAAGGGAGCAGCAACGACGGCCTTAACAACTGGAGCAGGGGCAGCAACAACGGGAGCAGCTACGGCAGCCTTAACGACGGGGGCGGCAGCAACGGCAGCTACCAAAGGTTCACGACGGACAACAGCGTTGAAACCGTTGACGGGGTCAGAGGTGTAGTCGACAATGCGTCTGTAACCATCAGCATCATTCAAAGAGTATTGACCTTGGACGAAACCGCCATCACGGGTCTCAACGGCGGTCTTGGAGTCACCGGAGAGGGCATCCTTAACATCATAACCATAAGAGTATTGGGGATGGGGATCGTATTCCTCAACTTTGGCGACGGCGGCCAAGGGAGCAGCTGGCAGAACACCGGCGCTGGCAACAGCTACGAGAGCAGCGAACAAAGTGACGAACTAGAAACGAAAAAATCAGCAAATTAATATCCATTATCCAAGGAATCTTGTATGATTGGTATCCGTATTGTAGTATCCTCCTTACTTTGAATGCCATTTTAATAAAATTTGGGCCTGTTTTTTTTTTTTGATATGCTCTAAATACCAAAGATGGATTTGAACTGTGTCGATTGTCAAATGCTCCTTGTCTTTTATATGGAAAGACACAAACATTTCCTAAAACAAAAGACCCAACCAAAAACCACTTGCTGAGGTACTCGTAACAAGTTGTCCCAAAATGTTGGTGTAAAATTGTGAAAACGCTACCGAATCACACGTTAATTGAATATTAACGCACGTCTGGTTGTTACCATTAATTGAATCGTATTTAGTGACTAATCAATTGATGAGTTGTGGATGTCGGCCCAAGTTAGATTTTGTTGTTTACGTTGTTGTAGAGGTAGTTTTATTGTTGTAATAATATTTGCATTCCATGTTCACATGCGCACGCGAACAATTGACGTTCTACATGCCCAAGGCAAAGTGGAACTTATGAAATATATCAGGTTTACTTTCAGAAAGAAAGGAAGTCTCACATATTATAGTGGTTAAAAAAAAGAAATGTTTTTTTCATTCTGGAAAGAAATGATATGTGCATTAAAATTGTATGCTCTCTAAAACAGTTATGTATACCAGCTTTGTATGATGACATTTTAATCCCAACACGGTATTTTAAAAAAGGGGAAAAGAGGCAGCGTATCGGATGGTTGCGATGAAGATGCGGTTTGTACGGAATTAAAAATGTGAGATATTCAGTGAATCTTTAACAACTGCTGTGATTCCGTTCTTTAGTCTTTACTACAGTGTGGCGCAGATTACAAACAGTACGAAATCACAGCAGTTATTAAAATAAAGATTCTTTGCATATTTTGCATTTTGAAATCCGATTTAGGGATATATTTTGTATGCATTTATTTGTCCAATTTTACACAAACCCTAATTAAACGAATATTTGCATTATATGTATGTTCGTATATCCGCCGCCATGGTAAGAAATGGTATAAAGCATTTGATACGGTCAAAACGTGCCTCATCAAAATAATGTTTTTAAACCCTAGATCTCTTTGGGCCAAAACCGTTTCAGGACATTTAAAGTCGATTTATCGGTGTCCGTCCGTCTGCCTGGCTGTTGCGCACGATAACTCTCGAGGAGAGTATCCGATTAGGTACAAACTTGGTACATCGCAATATCATTGTCAAGCTTAGATCGAGTTTGAAGACGGGCAATATCGGTACACTCTTTCTAGTACCTTCCCCACAAAATGTCGAAATATTCAAATAAATAATTTACTGCACAGAAAAAGAGAGGATAATCCGATTTTGCTCCAACTTTGCAAATTTTAATATTTGCATCAGTGCTACGTCAGGTGCGAAAATGGATATCGGCACCTCCCCCAACAAGGGGTCAAAATTTTGAATAATTATAACTCTTATAAAATATGATGTAAGACCCCGATTGTCTTCAAACTACACACATTAAAATATTTTTGTTAACCCAAAGTTTCTGGTACCTCCCCCACAAAAAGGTTATAATTATACCCTACAACACTATGTGTTGGGGGTATTATAAGTTTGATTGGGCCAAAAATTATGTAACATCTCGAAATATTGGTTTCCCACATAGAAAGTATATATGGATCTTCCTATCTCGCCGAGCTGAGTCGATCTAGCTATGTATGTCCGTCCGTCCGTCTGTCCGTCTGTCCGTCTGTCCATGTTAATTTGTAATCACTCTACAGGTCGCAATTATGGTCTGATTTTCACGAAATTGAAAGTGGAGGTGGGGTTTGGGCCAGAATAGAACCCTATTGCTTTTGGAGATGATCGCATAATATTTAGGGGTTGAAATGGACTAAATACTGAAAAATTTCCTGATTTTGCAGTTGCTCTACAGGTCGCAGTTATAGACCTATTGACGCGGAAGTTAGCATGGGGCTAGAGCTTAGGGCTGGGCAGAAGTCTCCCAATTTTGATTGTCATCGGGTAATATTTAGTGGGTGAAATAGACCATAGCATTTATGTTAAATAAAAGTCAAATTTTTCATTACCGCGAATATTTTTAATTCCGGCGAAATCACAAATAGATGAAGAGGTCAATTCTGACCGTTAGGTGGATGCCGATAGTAAATATATCTGATATATATACAATGTAAATATACAATGGAAGGGGATGTTAGCTAGAATGCATATAGCTCAAGAATGGATGGGCCGATTTTGACAAATTTTGTCAATTCAGAATGCCCTCTTGGCGTAAAAGAATAAAACGTAAGAAAATCGCATAAAAATATACCAATAATGATGTTAATATATATTTTGTAGTGTATTGAGACATATTTTTTATTTTTTCATATTTTTTATCGCATTCGATTTTTTCAATTTGACTTAATATTGAAGTGTACATTTTGTAAATTTTTTTCACCTTACAACACAGGTTGGGGTTATGAATTACAGATTGCAATTATCGTCCGATCTCAGGCTCAGAAGAGCTATTGTGTTCAACGATGACCGCAATATATTTAGGGGTTGAAATGGACCAACCACTAAAAATGTTACTGATTTTGCAGCCACAAATAGTAACCAAAGGACACGAAATCTCACATGTAGTTAAGGTTTAGGACAGCGGGTAGAATGGACCACTACTTTTGTGTGAAAATATACCAACATTACTTACAGGCGATATCCGAACACACAAAACGCGAAATTCTGGCTGATTTCATTGAATATAGCCAAATGTCGTAGACAAGTAAATAATATAGGTGAGTCTAAATTTGGAGATACAGAGGGGCCTCTTGCTTTTGGAGATGATCGCTAAATATTTAGGGGTTCAAATGAACCAAAAACAGAAAAGAAATTCTGATCACACAATTTACGCCAATCGACATGCCTGATAAAAGCGTTAAGGACAGGGAAGAATTCTAGCTTTTTGGATGACCATTGGATTATATTTAGCTGTAAACTGGACCACAACCACTAACAGCACGACGGAGTGCGCAAGTGCTAAGGGCAATATCTGGGCAGTGCTCCATGACAAAATTTCAAAAGCGAAATTTTCCAAAATGGACTTGGACATAAGGGTGCTTCTAACATATTGTAGTGTTGTAGGGTATCACATGGTCGACCCCGCACGACTATAGCCTTTGCTTACTTGTTGCATTATAGGTATGTCCGTATATCCGCTACCCCTCTGTCCATGTATTTTTATACCCTAAGCCATATGGCAAGAAATGGTATAAACCAAAAAAAAAAAAACCAAAACCGTTTCAGGACATTTAAAGTCGATTTAGCGGTGTCCGTCCGTCTGTCCGGCTGTTGCGGACGATTACTCTCGAGGAGAGTATCCGATTACGTACAAACTTGGTACATCGCAATATCATTGTCAAGCTTAGATCGAGTTCGAAGACGGGCAATATATGTACACTCTTTCTAGTTCCTTCCCCACAAAAGGTGGAAATATTCAAATAAATAATTTACTGCACAGAAAAAGAGAGGATAATCCGATTTTGATCCAACTTTGCAAATTTTAATATTTGCATCAGTGCTACGTCAGGTGCGAAAATGGATATCGGCACCTCCCCCAACAAGGGGTCAAAATTATGAATAATTATAACTCTTATAAAATATGATGTAAGACCCCGATTGTCTTCAAACTACACACATTAAAATATTTTTGTTAACCCAAAGTTTCTGGTACCTCCCCCACAAAAAGGTTATAATTTTTACTTAAAATAATTTTCCGTATAGAACAAGAAAGGATCATCCAATTTAGTTCAAATTTTACAAGTCTCAATATTTGTATAATTGCTATGTAAAATATGAAAATAGACAATATCGACCCACTCCATCACACAAATCCAACACAAAGGGTTGGAATAATTAAAACTTTTTAAAATGCGATATTAGCATCACATTTTCTTCAAATTAAGATGGGGTGATTCTGTTCACTCCTTCTGGTACCTCCCCATGACGTGTCTACATTTTGAATAACAATATCTTTCATAAAATGCAAAATAAACATCCAATCCTCTTTAAATTACACACATCTCATCCGATTGAGATGAAATTTTTGCAAACAATATTTGTTTGACCCAAGGACGAACACCAATGAAATTGGTGATAATCGGATCAGATTTAGAAATAGTCCCCATATATCTTCAACCGATTTCAGGTTAATTGTGCACTAAATGGCCTACTGATCTGAATTTTGGCACATCCCACCGAATTCAGTCTAGAAGCAAGTATATCAAAAATCGAAAATTGTTTGAGATATAGCTATAGATCCCATATATATGTTTCATTCGATTTGGGATTTACAGTTCCGCACACGCGTAATATGCACTCCACAAGAATGATATTTGGTACCGAAGATCAGATACTGTTCGAAAATACCTCTGTCAAATTGTATCGAGATCGGTTCAGACTAGGATATAGCTCCCATATACATCTTTATCCGATATTAGGTCTATTGTTCATCCATTGGCTAATATCAGCTCAAACGGACTGAATTTTGGCCAATACCACTGAATTCATCCTAGAAACCAGTATTTCAAATTTGGTGTAAAACGGTTCAGATATTGCTCCCATATATATATATATATATATATATATATATATATATATATATATATATATATATATATATATATATATATGGGTATGGGTCGATATTGTCTATTTTCATATTTTACATAGCAATTATACAAATATTGAGACTTGTAAAATTTGAAATAAATTGGATGATTTTTTGTGTGTATTGGATTGGATATATATATATATATATATATATATATATATATGTATATATATATATATATATATATATATATATATATGTATATATATATATATATATATATATATATATATATATATATATATGTATATATATATATATATATATATATATATATATATATATATATATATATATATATATATATATATATATATATATATCCAATCCAATACACACAAAAAATCATCCAATTTATTTCAAATTTTACAAGTCTCAATATTTGTATAATTGCTATGTAAAATATGAAAATAGACAATATCGACCCACTCCATCACGTAAATTCAACACAAAGGGCTGGGATAATTAAAACTTTTTAAAATGCGAT